CACACACACACACACACACACACACACACACACACCGGCTGACCATGAGCTGCTAGTGCTCTACGTACAGGAGCCACAGTTCCACTTCTTTTCTTTTTTTTTTTTTTTAAATTGTGAAAATACTGTACAGAGGAGTTACAATTACATGGGCAAGGTAATGAGTACATTTCTTATCAAGCATTGTTGCCTACTCCTTTGTTTCTCCTTCCCATCCCACAGTTCCACTTCTGACTTTTTTTTTTTGCCAGTCCTGGGGATTGAACTCTGAGTGCTGTCCCTGGGCTGCTTTTGCTCAAGGCTGCCACTCTACCACTTCTTGAGTCACAATACCATTTCTGGCCTTTTCTGTGATTAGAGATAAGAGTCTCATGGACTTTCCTGCCCTGGCTGGCTTTAAAACTTGATCCTCAGATCTCAGCCTCCTGAGTATCTAGAATTACAGGCAAGAGCTACCAGTGACTTGTTCTTTTGGTTCTTAATTGGAGATAACAGTTTTGTGGATTTTCCTGCCCGAGCTGGCTTCAGATGGCGATCTTTACATCTCAGCCTCCTGAATAGCTTAGATTACATACATGAGCCACTGGTGCTGGACAAGGGGCCCTTCTGGGAGTTGGCAAATACAGAAACCAGGAATGAGAAGTAGGCTAATCAAGTGAATCTCTCCTTCCTTCCTTCCTTCCTTCCTTCCTTCCTTCCTTCCTTCCTTCCTTCTCTCTCTCTCTTTTGTTTTTTGGTACTGGGGATCAAACCCAGGATGTTGTACTTGCTAGGCAAGCACTTTGCCACCCACTAAGCTACATTATAGCCCATTTCCTACTCTTTTTTTTAGTCAGTCATGGGGCTTGAACTCTGGGCCTGGGCACTGTCCCTCAGTTCATCAGCTCAAGGCTAGCGCTCTACCACTTGAGCCACAGCGCCACTTCCAGTTTTCTGGTAGTTTACTGGAGATAAGAGTCTCAGGGACTTTCCTGCCTGGGCTGGCTTTGAACCACGATCCTCAGATCTCAACCTCCTGAGTAGCTAGGATTACAGGCATGAGCCACCAGTGCCTGGCTTCATTTCCCACTCTTGATCACTGAATCTGCCAGCTGAAGAAAAACAAAAAAACAAAAAAAACACATGAACTTGCTGCCAAGTACCCAAACAACTCAGTTTAAACATAAGACTTCAGAAGAAGTTTGTATTTTATTAAAATACACATAATAGGACTGGGAATATAGCTTAGTGGTAGAGAGCTTGCCTAATATCCCTGGGTTTGATTCCTCAGTACCCACATAAACAGAAAAAGCTGGGAATGGTGCTGTGGCTCAAGTGGTAGAGTGCCACCCTTGAACAAAAAGAAGTTCAAGAAGCGTGCCCAGGCCTTGAGTTCAAGCCCCAGGACTGGCAAAAATAAAATAAAATTCACATAATAAATGTCTCTTATGTGCATTAGCAGGAAAAGGTGTACTGGCATACACCTGTAATCTTTTTTTTTTAATTGTGAAAATACTGTACAGAGGGGTTACAACATGGGCAAGATAATGAGTACATTTCTTATGAAGCATTGTAGCCTCCTCCTTTGTTTCCCCTTCCCATCCCTTCCCATCCTCCCCCCACCCCCCACCCAATCCTCCCTGCCCCCCCCCACCAAGGTTGTAAAGTTCGTTTTCATCATAATGACTTGTACATCTCATTTTTTGCACTGGGTCCACCCGTATCCCTAGTTAAACTATTTGTTTTTCCCCTTCCCCTCCACAAATTATACCCACATGAAATACAGTGAAAGCAGGGGTTATACTGTGGGGAGGGACATACAAAGCAACAAGGAAATAATCTTATAAATGTGTTAGAAACAATCGCATGAAAGAAAAAAAATTGAATACATATCTTATGGTTCATTTCCCTAACATCACCTTATCTGACCTTTTCTGCTTGACTCAGACATATACTAGATATTGCATACACCTTTAATCTTAACATTGAAGAAGCTGAGTGAGCCAGGTACCACTAGCTCACACCTATAATTCCAGATACTCAGGAGATTGAGATCTGAGGATTGTGGTTTGAAGCCAACCTGGCAGGAATATCTGTGAGATTCTTATCTCCAATTAACCACCAAAAGCCACTAGTGGAGCTGTGGCTCAAATGGTAGAGTGCTAATCTTGAATGAAAAGACGTTCAGAGATGGTGCCCAGGCCCTAAGTTCAAGCTTCAGGACTGAATCAGGGAGCTGGTGAGTTTGAGATTAGCATGATCTACATAGTGATACTTTGTCTAAAAGAGAGGTGGTGGGGAAGGATGGGAAGAGAGAGAGAGGAGAAGAAAGGAAGGTTTTAATCTTTTGATAATCTCCACAAATACTTATGGTTTTGCAAAGATGTATCATTACCTGCTGCTATGTCATTTTCTGCTGTGAGCTATAAGTAGTGTTCAAACTTACCAAGCACATTATTTAGATCTTCCCAGTCTTGGGAAGATCTTCTGTGATCCATGCTGCATGAACTGTAGATTTATAAATCACGAATGTTTTCCCAGTGAGAACGCCTTTAAGAAAATATGGAAAAGAAATGTCCTTAAATGGATTGAACATATTTTAGCTCTTCAGGCAGATAGAAATGGAGGGAATGCATTTGAAAAACATTCAAACAACATTGGGAAGAATTTTATTTGTGTGTGTGTGGGGGGGGTGTGCGTGTACGCATGCACGCGCACGTGCCAGTATTGGGGCTTGAACTCAGGGCCTGGGTACTGTCCCTGAGCTTTTTCTGCTCAAGTCTGTTGCTCTCCCACTTGAGCCACAGCTCCACTTCGAATTTTTTGTTGGTTCATTGTAGATAAGAGTCTCTAGAGTTTTCTGCTCAGGCTGGCTTCAAACTGCAATTCTCAGATCTCGGCCTCCTGTGTAGCTAGGATTATAGGCGTGAACCACAGGCACCTAGCACGGTTTTCTAAGCCATGATGAATGAGCTGTCACCCATGTCCTGCTTCTTTCTGTGAGGCTATAATTTGACTTCTTAATATACTTATCTGTAGTGTAGATATGAATGTGGATGATAAAATTGCAGAAGTTAATGTTCTAAGATTACTGATTTTACAGACTGACTTTCCCTTTCTCCTCTTCTAACAGGAAATGACATAGAGGCCTTATGAATACATGCGTGCATTCTTGATTCAGACTTCAGACTTTACCAGGGCCAACCCAGTCTGGAAGCACATCTTAATTAACGTTACAAGGAAACTGCTACCTCAGCAAACAAAAAGCAAGTAGGAAAAGATTTATCATCACCAATGCCAATTTTAAAGAAAACTTGTTTTTCAAAAACCTTACAGGAAATTTGGAGACTTTTAGGATTGAGGAGAAGCTTTATAGGTAGATGGATTTGACAGGCAGGCTCTGTCAAAATTCTGCAGAGGTTTGCCCTTTGTACTTAAGAACTTTGCGTGAAATAACCCCTGTACTACTTTTTAAATTGCTGTTGATCAGCTTATGGGTGTGGGGTTCTAATGTTTTTTTGGTATATTAAAGATTCATTATATTGCATTTTGAAAAGTTAAGTTATTTTTCTGCCATTGTAAATATGACTATGGAAACTATTCTTGCAAAACAATTAAACATTTTTCTCAGCAAGCATATCTTTTTATGAAGAGAGTTAGAATGCTACAGTACTTACACAGCATTTTGGACACTTTTTATTTTTTATTTTTATTTTTTGGTCCAGCGATCCTGCCTCCATTGAAAATAGTAATTGTATGACCCTGTTGTCCTTATCTCTATGTTGGCTCACACGGTCACCTGCCTCATGGAAATGCCTTTTTTTAAATGGAGATTTGCAGAACTCTACTATTTTTATACCTGTCTACAGTTTTGACAGACAGTAATTAAAACTCCAAACCCTCACACCCACCTGCAGTTCCTGGCACAGTTGCCCCTACCCGCATGTATTGCTGCAGTGCTCAGGACAGTAAAATGGACCACAAGCGGCGCTTCCTGCTTGGCGGGTCCAAGCAGAAGGTGCAGCAGCATCAGCAGTACCCGCTGCCAGAGCTGGGCCGGGCACTGAGTGCTCCCCTGGCATCTACAGCCACCGCTGCCCCCCTGGGCAGTTTGACCACTGCAGGCAGCTGCCACCATGCCATGCCCCACTCCACTCCTATCGCTGACATCCAGCAGGGCATCTCCAAGTACCTGGATGCCCTCAACGTCTTCTGCCGTGCCAGTACCTTCCTCACAGATCTCTTCAGCACCGTGTTCAGGAACTCTCCCTATTCTAAGGCAGCCGTGCAGCTCCGAGATGTACAGGAACATGTCATGGAGGCAGCCAGCCGGCTGACCTCAGCCATAAAGCCCGAGATCGCCAAGATGCTCATGGAGCTTAGTGCCGGGGCTGCAAACTTCACAGATCAGAAGGAGTTCAGTCTGCAGGACATTGAGGTACAGTATCTTCCGTCCCCTACATGAGATAGGAAATATATTCCCCAAGTCAGCGAGGATGCTCTGTTACTTGTACCCAGGCCCCTAGGGTAGTAGCCTGTGTCCTGTCTTTATGATTTCCCTGTGTGAAAAAACGGTTTGGCTTGGCACCAGTGGCTCATGCCAGTAATCCTAGCTACTTAGGAGACTGATATCTGAAGATCACAGTTCAAAGTTAGCCTGAACAAGAAAGTCCATGAGACTTATCTCCAATTAACTGCCAAACCAACCTGCAAGTGGAGTTGTAGCTTCTATGGTAAAGCATAGCCTAAAAGCTCAAAGTGACAGCTCTCAGGCCCTGAGTTCAAGACCCCCAACCAGCACACACATAAAAATGTTTGTGCTTGCCAAGTTCCCAACTGCTTTCATTTCAGACTAAGTAACTTAAAAGCTTTTTTTGGTTGTTGTTGTAGCTGATACTGGGGCTTGAACTCAGGGCCTGGGCACTGTCCTTTAGCTTTTATTTGCCCAAGTCTGGCTCTCTATGACTTGGGGGGTGGGGTAGAGGATGGTTTAGTGCTTACTTAGAGATAAGAATCTACAGATGTGCCTACCCAAGCTGGCTTCTAAAGCAATCCTCAGATCTCAGACCTCTGAATAGCTAGGATTATAGGTATGAGCTACCTTTATTCTTTTTTTGTTGTTGTTTTTGTAGAACTTGACTCTGAGCCTGTGGTCTGTCCTTGAGCTTTTATTTATTTATTTTGCCACTCCTGGGGCTTGAATTCAGGGCCTGGGCTCTGTTCCTTAGCCTTTCTGTGCTCAAGGCTAGCACCCTACCTCTTGGAGCCACAGCAGCACTTTTTAGCTTTTTCTGAGTTGTTAATTGGAAATATGAGTCTCTCAGACTTGCCTGCCTGGGCTGGCTTTGAACCATGATTCTCAATCTCAGCCTTCTGAGTAGGTAGGATTACAGGCATGAGCCACCAGCACCTGGCCTACCTTTATTCTTGACTTAGGAATCCTCTTGTGCTTATAGTAAGCACTGCCTCCCATCAAACCTAGGGACTTGCAGAGTATATAGTAGGCTAGCATGCCTAACATGGTTAAACTTTTATCTTATTTATCTGATAGATTTAAAAGTTATTTTTAGCTGCTGAGAGAGTTAATCTGAGGTTTCTCCATGTGTCCTTGGGCACCCAAGTTAAGCTGCTAGATGGCTAATCCTGGGGAAAGAATTGTTCCTCTCCCATCCTGGGGCTGAAGTTGCCAGTTCTTTGAGCCATATCAGAAATTGAGGCTGCATAAGCTAACGAAAACTGCTTTGCAAAACAAAACTAACTATTAAATAACACAGTTAATTTTCATTTTGCTTAAAAGTGATTTTCTCTCTCACTTCCAAAGGGAATTGTGTGTGTATGTGTGCAGGAGAAAAAGAATGTGTATGCATGCATGTGTGTGTGTGTTTGAGTCAGGATGAAGGTATATAGCGAGGTTGTCTTTAAACTACCCAATCCTCATGCCTTAGCTTCCCGAGTGCTTAGATTATAGGCATGCTTCACCATGTTCAGTACTAAGGTGATTTTTTTTTGGGGGGGGGGGGGTCCCGTCGTGGGGCCTAAACTCTGGACCTGGGTGCTGTCCCTCAGCTCTTCAGCTCAAGGCTAGCGCTCTACCACTTGAACCACAGCGCCACTTCTGGCTTTTTTTTCTTTTTGCTTATGTGGTGCTGAGGAATTGAACCCAGGGCCTCATGCATGCAAGGCAAGAGCTCTACCACTGAGCCACCTTCCCAACCCAAAGGTGATTATTTTTTTAAGCAACATCAACATTATTGGTGTAAATCAAAGTTTATCACCCTTGTTCTGTAAGAGTCAGATAGGAAATTTTAGGCTTCTTGGCCTACATGGGTATGGTTTATGCCACATGGCCTTCCTTTTTTTCCGACTCTTGAAAAAAAAAAAAGTAAAAATTAGGAAGTGGAGTTGTAGCTCCTTAGAAGTATCAACTTGAGTAGAAAAAGCCAAATCATTGCATGAGGCCCCTGGTGCCAGTGGCTGACGCCTGTTAACCTAACTACTCAGGAGACTGAAATCTGAGAATAGAGGTTCAAAGTCAGCCAGGACAGGAAAGTCAGTGAGACTCTTATATCTTAGTTAACCACAAAAAGAAAGAAGTAGCTGGATACCACAGGCACGCCCGAAATCTTAGCTACTCAGGAGGCTGAGATCTGAGAATCTCAATTCAAAGCCAGCCCAGGCAGAAAAGTCTTTGTGAGACTCTTATTTCCAATAAACTACTCAGAAAAGGCTGGAAGTGGTGCTGTGGCTCAAGTGGTAGAGTGTTAGCCTTGAGCACAAAAAGGCTCAGGGATAGTGCCCAGGCCCTCAGTTGAAGCCCTAGGACTGGCAAAAAAAAAAAAACAACACCAAAAGTAGAGGTATGGCTCAAGTGGTAGAGCACTAACCAGTGAAAAAGCCAAGGAAGAGCACATGGTCCTGAGTTCAAGCTCCATTGTTGACTCCCCCCGCCAAAAAAAAAATTGTTGTTCAACCACCAGGGAGTGATCCTGGTCACTTCTTTGACTCAGGGTGTGTTGATCCATAGTAGATCCAGGCTACTATGACTCTCATTCCAGGATGACCTGGCCCTTTCTCTTTATTTAGTTAGAATTCAGCAGTAGTGTCTGGAAAGATAAGACCAAGGCATTTATTTCAACCTGAACATTACTGACCTCATGTCCAGGACCTGCCATGATTGTTTGCTCTCCAACCCTGGTGGAAAGTTTCACTTATCCCACAGGCCAGGACAGTTAAAGATGAACCAACCCTTACCCCCTTCCTCTCCAGATGCAGGGCATACTTACAAAGTCACCAGTACTTAGAATACTAACAGGCAGTACTTACCTACTTCTTCCCCCTTCTACTTTCCTAGAACCCACATTATTATAGCAGAGAAGGGGAAGTACTTACTGTTTTTGTTGTAGTTTGGAATTTTGGCTGGTTTTCTTCCATTGAAATGCTGATCAGAGTAAGGGGAATACTCTTTCTCTCCCTCTCTCCCTCTCCCCCCCACCCCCCACTCACACACCCTGCATACCTGCTCCTTCTTCCCCCTTCTGTGCCTAATGGAGTAAGTAGGCTACTGGAAACTACGTAGTACACTGGATGAGTTTTAGAACCTGTGGGTCTGTTTGTTTTGTTTGAAACAGCCTATGTCAGTTCCAAATTGAGATTGGGGAGGATAGGCCCCAATACCCACCAACTTCACATTTCACTTTTCCTGGAACATTATATGGTATTCCTAGAATTCATATACTACCAAAGGACTTAGTCATAAGCCAGTGATCGCTCCTCCAAAGTGAAATGGATAGGCATTTGACATTTGGACTTTTCCCCTATTTTGTTTGTTTCTTTTTATGGTTCTAGAACCAAAGCTGGGAGGGGTTTTTAACTTTGATTCTCCCTCCCTACTGACTCCCAAGAACTCTGTGGTCTAATATTGTGGAACTTGACTGGCTAAGCCAAGCCTTTGCTATAGTTTCGATATAGTTTTTCCCCAGCAAAGCTCACTCTGAAAACTAGCTTCCAGTGTGGACAGTGTGGGAAGCTCATGGGGCCGTTAGAGGTGATTAGGTCAGTGAGGGATCAGCCTGTGAGTTCTAGGTCTGGAGAGTCTCAGTTAGTTATTCTTGACAGGGAGTTAGTTTACAGTAAGGGCACTTTTCATGTTTTCTTTGTCTGCACTCACCTGCGTGCCTGTCTGCTTTTTGAAATTGGTTGAAGCAGCCCAGAGTCCTCAATGGCAGCACACCGTAGGATCGTTTCTTTTTTTTTTTTTTTTTGGTCCGGTCGTGGGGCCTGAACTCTGGGCCTGGGCGCTGTCCCTCAGCTCTTCAGCTCAAGGCTAGTGCTCTACCACTTGAGCCACAGTGCCACTTCCGGTTTTCTGGTGGTTTATTGGAGATAGGAGACTCATGGTCTTTCCTGTCCAGGCTGGCTTTGAACCGAGATCCTCAGATCTCAGCCTCCTGAGTAGCTAGGATTACAGGCGTGAGCCACTGGCGCCCGGCTTTGCCTGGCTTTCTTGCTCACTGCTGTCATTCCATCACTTGCGCCAAGTTCCAGCCTGGCCTTTTGCTGGTTTATTACTAACGGAGTCTTGTGTAATTTTCTGTACCAGCTGATTTTGAATCGTTATCCTCAGGTGTCAGCCTCCTATGTGGGTAGGATTATAGATGCAAGCTACCAGTGCTTACCTCTGACTTTATTTATATTTTACTGTGGCAAATATGCTATTATCTAAACTACTTGCAGATTTTAGCCTTAGAGTGATATAATTGGGGGCTGGGAAGGTGGCTCAGTGGTAGAGTGCTTGCCTTGCATGCATGAGGCCCTGGGTTCTATTCCTCAGCACCACATAAGCAAAAAGAAAAAAGCCGGAAGTAGCGCTGTGGCTCAAAGTGGTAGAGTGCTAGCCTTGAGCTGAAGAGCTGAGGGACAGCGCTCAGGCCCAGAGTTCAGGCCCCATGACTGGACCCAAAAAAAAAAAAGTTATAATTAATTAAGCAATTGGAATTTGGATGACTATAAACTTGCATTATATATAACAAACAAGATTTACTAGCTATTTGGTGTGGGTGGAAGCCGCTGTGGAGAGGCTGGACCTTTGATTTGTCAAGACATGCATGTCCAGCCAATTCATTATTCTGGAGATGGCTAATTAAAAGGAGAAAAGTAAGGAATTAACCAAGTTCCTGCTTTTCTAATGTACTCTACTTTTCAGGGTAACCAAATAGCCCTAATGGATGAAGAAAACAACTCTATAGATACCATGCTTTTTTTCTTTCTTTCTTTTTGTTTTTCCTAGTGCCTATACTAGAGCTTGATCTCAAAGGCTCAGATTCACTTACCTTTTTTTGCTCGAGGTTGGTGCTCTACTACTTGAGCCACAGCTTCACTTCTGGCTTTTTGCTGGTTAATTGGATATAAGAATCTCTTGGATTTGTCCTGCCTTGGTTG